TTAAGGTAATGAGTTAATTACTTCCTTTTCTTTTTCTTTTTTTTGTCGTGACCATTAATAATTTCGTAAACATTGACTTAGAAATGATTTGTGAATCAATAATAATTGAAATAATTTTTCTAGGAACTTTTTTTTTTCTTAGAATCGATGGATAATATTGGAAATAAAAATAACAATGATTGCTATTGGTGACAATTAACGAAGTAACGGATGTTTGTCACATCCATTAACAAACGTCAAAGTTTGCGCATTTTAGTGGAATGCAAATTTTAGCAAGGTGAGGTTGAATTAATTTAGGAATTCATAAACTAATTAAAATAATCCATCTGCGAATTTAATTTAAATCAAATTTCTCTTTCAATTTTTTCTTTTTTGAAATTTCATGATAAAATTGAAAATATATTAATTTACATACAATGAATGTGCCTTAAATTATAAATTTAATGGATTCTTTTCCGATCAGAAAATTTGTGAGTTATTTACGTCAAATATTACGTCTACTCATAAGTAACGTAATCAAAATATTACGTCTACTCATAAGTAACGTAATTAAAATTATATGCGTATATGTTTCCCGCCTATTTTACACTTATCAATTAACAAAATTCATTGGGAAATCTCTCGGATTATTTCACTAAAAAATCTCTCAGAACTTCTGGGAAATTTCTTTCTTTTTTTTCAAATTTATACTTTAATAGTTTGTAAAAATGGTAAATTATTTATTTCTAGTCAATAAAATAAAATAAAAAAATTAATTAGAGTAAATGTTTTTTTTTTTACTTGCTAAAATGAAGAGGAGAGAGAGAGAGAAAGAAAGAAAGAGAAAGAAAAAGAGAAATTTGAAAGGGAAAGAGAGAAAGTACAATTCATTTAATTATATCAATAAACAAAAATTAATCATATTCAATGATATTTGCATGAAAACATGAAATGAGACGAATAAATGAGAAATGATAATATCGGTTTCAAAGAGTGAGAGATGAAAAGTTATCAACAAAGTAATTCTTCACTGGAAGAATCCTATTAAACTATTATTATCATGTTACCGTATCCTAATCATTACTACTAGTAGATATAAACGGAATAAAGGAATTTCATTATTCATAAAGTAGCAGGGAAAATTAAAGCCTTCCGGAAGAAGCTATCCGGACGAAAATGTATTGGAACAATGGAAATTGCATCCGTCAAGGGAATTTGCATTAACATTATTCATAAAATAGCAGGAAAAATTAAAGCTTTCCGGAAGAAGCTATCCGGACGAAAATGTATTGAAACAATGAAAATTGCATCCGTCCACTATCGAGGTGTAAATTGATGGAATATGTATAATGAATTTTTAATTGTTTTAATTGTTTGTTTGAATTTCGATTTTTTTATTTTTTTTAATTGTTTGAATTTCGAAATATTTCATAAGGTCCAATATTTTCAAGAATGATAAATCATTTTTCCGGTTCTGTTTTAATCGTTTCAATTTCAAAATATTTCATAAGGTCCAATATTTTCAAGAATGATAAATCATTTTTCCGGTTCTGTCTTAATCGTTTCAATTTCAAAATATTTCA